GTCAGCAGGATTATTTAGTTGCACGCAAGTAATAAGTAACTTGGTACTTGTTTACGTTAAAACTACGCTTATACAACCTGGGCGTTTACCTTATGGCCATTAACTTTTCGATCTCCAGGTGGATTTAACCCTCTGGGGTTCTTCGTTTCAGAGTCACACTCAGGAACTTCGGGTCAAAATTGACCCAAAGGGCGGGATTCATATTTAAAAAAAGAAAATCATAATTAATTTTTTTTACTTGTTTTTTATAATATTTTTTCTTTTCTTTTTTGGTGTTTTGAGATACAAAAATGTATAATTAGTATTAATGCAATAATTATGACCAAATTTTCCCCCATTGAATACAACAGAAATTTTTTTTTTTTTAATTTATTTTTTAGAGCTGTATTTCATTTTGGAGTAAAAGCAATTTTTGAAATTAGATGGATGCCATCTCGTGGACAAACTGAACTTTTTAAAAATGCAAAACACATCTGAATTTTTTGTTGTGTGTGTGTGTGTGTGTGGATGTGTCTGTTTTGCACTCTTGATGTTTTATAGATTCACCCCTTCACTGCTGTGTGCTTTTTTTCAAGATCGTTGCTGATTTGTAGATTGTAGATAGATTCCGTGAGTTTGAACTAATTTGCGGGCATCAGGAAACCGCTATCAATATGCAGCATACACGAAAATCATTCACCTTTCGGCAAATTCGCCGTTTTGAAACCAAAACAGGGGACCTGCGTTAATCGTGTATACTTTATGAAGCCATACTGTAGTATAATGTGAGATAGAAATGTATATTTAAGTCATTAAATTCAAGTTAACCTAAGCTTTTCCCTCCACTGCGGCTGTCAGTCATTCTCTATTCGGTGTTCAAACAGCGCGTCGTGTTACAACAGTTAACATGATGAAACTCTTTCCAAGATGATTCAATGTTATTATTATAATTGATCCGTAGATAAAGGTCTATGGTTTCGTAATATAATGACTATCTTGCTAGACTTTTATTGGTGTAACTTAATCACTTTCTACTGAGTGTTAGATCACAACACTAGAGTAGACTCGGCGCACTATAATTGTTCTTCACGTGCACAGTAGCCTAAATGAAATTTAAAACTGTTAAAAGAAAAGGCTGAATAAACTATTGCAAAGATACTGTATAATACACAGTCAATATTGCTTCCTCACTAAACAGCTGTGCATCTGATTTTTACGATGTTTTTCATAAATGTATAACAACAATACAAAGAGCAATGTGTAACGTTTTACCAGAGATAGTGCTACACTTATTGTCTCTTATTTTTTCCCCACTAAGGAATGTTTTTTTCACTAAATGTTCAGATTTTATAAAATTATTGTGCACTTGTGATTTTTCTAGGCTTAGTTTTTCTGAGTTATCCACTAATCTAGTTTACAATAGCATTTTTGTCATAGGTTATAGTCATATATATTTTTTTTATTTGTTGTTTTTCTATATAATGAAGTTGTCTGTATTAAGAAGATTGTTTAACACACAAAAGAGTGTGGTTTTTAGGGTTTTATTTAGTTATAATAAACAAAAAAATGAAATAAATTTTTTATCCGATTAATCGATTAATCGAAAAAATAATCGTCCGATTAATCGATTATCAAAATAATCGTTAGTTGCAGCCCTAAACAAATTCGATGTGGTAATGTGTTTTTCACTAGCTCTAATGAGGTTTCAGTAATTGGATCATGTTTTGGAATCCATATCATTTAGCACAATTCGATCAAAAACCCAGGCATAAATGGGGCCTTTAAACAAAAATGTCACATCATTTTTGGAAGAAGATCGAAAAAAGAAGACTTTCCAGACCTGAGCCAAGTCTCTCCTTCTGGCTTTCAGGGTGTTGGTTCGAATGGTGACTGGCCTTTGAATTTCATTGGCCTCAAGAAAATCAATCAGCTGAAACAGAAAATTTGTATTTGTATATCAATAAACACACACAAAGTTTAACAAAGAATTTTGTTCTGATATAGATGTACTGTCAATTCATATAGAGGTGGAGGGAGTGTGGCCATCCAACCCTTCAGATCTTGACAGACATTTGCTTTATCCTGTTAGCATAGCCACACACCTTGTGAGGAAGCAGATGGGTGGTACTAAAAACAGGAAGCATCTACACTTCAGCAATAAAAGCTATCATGCCAATTTACTCATTACGGACTAAAAGCAAGAGTACACACCTCAGAGAGAGAGAACAGGTCCATGAGTTTGCTGATGAGGAAAGGGTTGTAGCTGTAATAGGTGCAGAGGTCAGAGCGCAGCAGTGAGAGATACTCTGATCTTTCCTTGCCTTCCTCTCTCTTCTCACTGAAGTGAGACAGCACATCCACATTATCTTTGATCCTCTGATGGATGGTCTGTAAGTCCATCAGTAAAAGACCTACACACACGCGAGACGGAGGAATACACCTCTAGATCAAACAAAATCTGGGAGGCTGTGGAAATCTGTAGTTTGATGACAAAAAAAAGTTGGACTTACCTTCCTTGGCTCGGTCAGCCGCAGCAGGGAGTTTGAATTGTTCCGTCTCGTCAATATTTGCCTGCACAGTATCCTCTTCCTCCTCATCTTCCATTAAATCTTTCTTTTCCTCTTCATCATCATCATCATCGTCGTCATCATCATCACTCTCTGGTTTCATGCTTGTTTGTTTTTTCTGTTTTCTTGCAGCTTTCTCTATTGGCAGAAGCTGACACGGCAAAGGATGATGGGACACAATTAGGAATTGGCTATGCTTGGAATACAATGCAGACTTTTCTTATATTAAAATATATAGTATAATACAGTAACGATGTACATTTTGACGAGAGATGCATAGAAATGTAAAGTCAAACACACTCCATTGTGGGATAAAGTGTTTTGTGCTCCCGAACTTCAAATTTATCAAAAGAAGTAGGACATCAGTATGTTTAATGGAGATATTTGACATACTGCACAAAAGGTCAAGATTTTCTCTATACAAATGTTTGTTTCATACCTCTTCTCCATCACTGTCTTGTTCATCCCCTTCATCAGCACCATAGTCATCCACCATTTCTTCATCATCATCGTCATCATCCACCATTCCCTTGTGATCTAAGCCCTTCACAACATCATCATCATCTTCATCTTCCCACTGGCTGTCGCTGTCCTCATCTTCCTCACATTGTTCAATCTTTCGTTTCCTCTGTGCTGGTTTGAGCCATTCACTATTCTCATCTGAGAATCCTGCAATAAATTTGAATTGATTTGCAAATTCAATGGTTTATAAACAGTTATTCCATTTTAGTTTTTTTTTTTTTAATCCTTTATATACCTTTTTTGGGCTTTTCCTCTTGTTTGGGTTTTTTGGTCACTTGAGTTCTCTTTACAGCTCTGTCGAAATTAAAATAATAATAAATGTCAAGTTATCATCAGAAAGCTAAGAAAAAAAAACTCCTATTTGAATTAATTTTACCGTTTTCTTCCTCTGCTTGAAAGTTTTTTAGGCCCCTCATCTGTGAACAGAAGATAACCAGTGTTATAACTTATTTAATACATTGTTAAATTGGTTAGAACCGGGTTCCCCAAACTCGGTCCTGGAGGGCCACTGTCCCTGGAGAGTTTAGCTCCAACCCTGGGCCTGATCAAACACACCAGAGGAAGCTAATCAAGGTCTTCAGGATCAGTAGAAACTCACAGGTAGGTGTGTTTGATCAGGCCCAGGGTTGGAGCTAAACTCTACAGGGGCCCTCCAGAAATTAGTTTGGGGAACCCCGGGTTAGAATATATGCATATATAGTCATTATATATCTCAATCACACATGGAATTATCAAGCATGTGTGATTTACCATCAACCAAAAACTTGGAAAGCTCAGTTTCAGCTCCCTTCTGTTTCCTGGATTTACGTCCAGGTCCTCTTTTCGCCCTAATGGAGGGATCCAACTTCCTGCCCATGATTGACACCTACAAAGTTGTTCTGGGGTAACAAAACATATTTGGTCAGAAGTAAAAACATGATTATTATAAGGTTAGAAACATAAAAAAACAGTACAGCATGTGGGTTGCCATAACCCATGTGGCTTTCATTAATCTGTATAATATCACTCTCATGTAACAAAGCTTGCATGGTATTAAAATAGATGTATGGCTTGTAATCGGAACAAATACAACTTTTACTTGCAAAATCGGCAGTTTGGTTGACAGATCGAAGCGTGATGGTGCTTCCACAATTTAACAATGGGTTACTGCTCCTATTAATTCTGTCAATAAAATGCAGGCCAATTATGTTTATTATTGTAGTAAATTCAATATCATGTTAAGATAAAAAAAAACATGTTGCGCACAATTTACTAGCACGCTGCAAACTACGTGACTACCGTTTGTTTACTGTGAACCGATTAAGATACAGGAGTAGTAACTGTAAAAGCGACAGATACTTACTGTTTAACAAAAACAAGTTCTTGCGATTATCACGATCTCTAGAACACTCCAAGAAATTGTAGATTTAATTTACGAAAGTTGCCATGTGCCTCTCGTGCTGCCGTGAACTAGCGCACATGTGACTTCATCAGCACACGTTGGACTTCCGGAAGTTGTTAGCGATGCCCGATTCGTGAACAATTCATTCTTTGGAGTCGGATCTTTTCTAAATCGGTGGATTTTTTTCCCTCTTCATTTTTTTCCAGGTAAAATTAATTTACTTCAATAGCCGAATATCACAAACACACACATATTAAACCCTGTTTTAAATTGTATTAAAATATACACAAACGTTTCTTGACAAAGTAATAAGTAGGCTACTGACGTAAAATGACAATTATATTAAGGGTTCAAGCTTGTTTGCAACAAAATGAACTAGGACATATGAAACTGCAATAAAGACCTTTATTTAAAAACTTTAAAATAAGCTGTCAGCAGCGAGTGTACGTTATGTAAACATTATCGTCTTTGAACCGATTCTTAAAATCGAACAGTTCGAAAGAACCGATTCGCGTAAATGAATCGCACGCATTACTACTTCCGTCGCGCACATTCTGCGAAAGAAATTCGCTACTTGAAGTTGTTGGAGAGAGCTTCAACTCAAGGGTTGAGTGAACACAACTGCCATGGAGGACGAATGGGAGGAGGAGGAGCAGCTAGTTGTGGTAGAACTGTCTGGAATGATCGGCTCTGATTTACTGTCCAGTCGGCAGAGCACATGTAAGATAGTGGACATCGACAGCGAGCAGCCCATGATGCAGGTGGGCCGGTATCTGTTCGCTGGAGAATACGAGGACGCCATCGGAACATGTGTGTTATTCGAAGAGAATGGTGCAGACTCTAAACCAGCCCTTAAATACAAATGTCACACAATGAAGAAGCTGATGCTGCAGCGGACGTTTCTCTCCGAGAGGAAGGAGGACGAGCCCGTCTCTAACCGCATAGAGGTGCTGGCTCTCCACGATGAGGAGTTCGGACGCAAGAGCGCAGTTTGTCACTACCTGGATCCGATAGACACAGAGAAATCGGCGCTTGACGAATCTAAAGATTGCAATGACCCAGAGATGAGCGAGGCATCAGCGGATGAACTGGAGGAGACTCTTCTGGAGAACTCCACCGAGGAGCCGATGAACGCCAGCACTTCTTCTGTACTGGCGGCTGTAGAAGAAAAGGACGATGGCTCTTGAGAGACCGCTTGATTTCTGACAATGTACATTCTGCGTCATGTACATATTCTGGTTAATAAAAGTTTTGTATTTTGTAGTGTGGATGTCTGTCCTATAAAAAATATATCTATCATTTTATTTTTCTAACTATCGATTGTACTCTATTATTCCATCCATCTATCGTTTGTTCTATTGTTATCTATCTATCTATTGTTCAATCTTAACATATCTTTCTTCTACTCTCTACATAAGTTAATAAAATAATAAATAAAGTCCTGTCTTGAGTTTTGACTTTTTATTCCACCTAAAACATTGTGCCTCATTTTCATTCTATACAGTGTCAAAATTTAATTACATCAGAGGGAATATAAACTTTAAAAATGTTTATCAAATAACAAGCATTGAAGATGCAAACCTAAACTTAATAATACAAACGATGATAAATATCAATTATGTTCAGTCGCTACTGGTATTCGGGTCGCAGAATCCGGGTCATTATTCCAGCATGTGTGGCCCTGCGCATCTGTTCATTGCTTCCTGATGAGGAAGGCCACTACTTTGGGTTTTAAAACCTGTTTGAACCTTGATACAAAGCTGGCAATGACCTCCTCCTTGTCTGGCTTTTTATACTATGCTGATGGGTTCTCTGGGACAGGCATGGCCAACAGCGCATCGTTGTATGGTGTAGGGTTGACAAAGACTTTTTCAGAAATTAGGTCCATCATGTCAGCAACATAACCTTGTATCATAAAACACGAGCACAAACATTATTTTTTTTGTTTACTTGATTGTGTTTTGCTTTTATGTTTTTTTTATGCAATTTATTTTTTTGTATTTAATTTATGCATTACAAATACATTAGATAATTCCAAAATATGTGTTGCTTGAATTGATTTTAAGCCTTACCAAAGGTCGGCTTTGTCTTTTTAACTCTGCACTCTCCCTTCCTACCCTTCGGAAATGGGAGTTTGAAGATGGGTACACCTTCGTGCGTTTCTGCATTTTCATTATAATGCATAGCAGCCAGGTAGAGCCTGGAAATACAAGACAAATGTGTTTATATTAACAATACCTATGGACACTGTATCATAAAATATCTCTAAACAAACTTTCTTTTACCTGCACAGCATTCCAATAAAGGAAAAGACAACATTTTTGGGAGCAAAACAAAGGGTGACAGCATGGAAAGCCTCCAACGATGAAGTTTGGTGGTGGGGGCTCAGTTTTGCAACATCCTTCAGCATTCTTTTGTTTGTTAGCAACTTCTCTAACTTGTTGAAAGCTTGAGAATCTGCAGACAATAACAAATATATTAGAAAACAATATAGTACAGAATATTACAACAACGATCTGGTAATTTTTTGAAAGTGACTACATAACTATGTGTAGTTGTACATTTACTGTTTTGACATTTAGCCTGTATATTGATGAAATACCTGCTTTTAGCCATTTACTCTTATCAGTTGTCTTGCGGATTGCATGCTCGCACTCGGGGTAAAGAGGATCCTCATGTGTATGGATATCTTGAACATGGTTCAGGATTGAGTTCCACTTTGCAATTCTCTCTGGCTCGGACGTTGAACTAGCTGCAGTCCAGAATGTGTGATTGTTGATGCTTTTCATCCACTTTTTGAGTGGCTCACAATCTTTCTGCTTACTAATTGCTTCGAGTTTCTTTGAAAGTCCTACAATGAAAACACAAATTGCACTTAATTAAGATGCTCATAAACTAAGTGATTTCTCTATTATAGTGTTTCATAATCAATTGCAAAGCATTTGATAACATTTACTCATAGGGTCTCAGTTTCGAAGTAAGGACAAGTCTTTTCACCAAATGTTTTAGTAAAACATATAACATTGGGACCTTCTCAAAAAAAGATATCACTAATAATTAAAAGAATGGAAAAGGCTGGAGCAAAACTGATTTTGTATGATATAATGGACATAAAGCAGCTCCATATATGCGCTGACAAAATACCTTTTGCCATGTGCCAGACATCATAGTAATGGGTTATGTTTCTCTCCCTGAGGAACTTCTGTACTTTTGGATGACGATCGGTGACAATGCAATCAAGGTTGATGCCACGCGACTCCAGTAATGCTAGACTCCTCGTCAGGCCCTCTTTTTCCATGTAGCAGCTACCACCAACCTCATTGCTCTGTTAAAGGGATAGTTGACTTTGAAATTATTTTTTGATATGTTTTAGCTTACCTCAAGGGCATCCAAGATGTAGGTGTCTTTGTTTCCACAGTATTTTGTATTTTGAGAAATTTTTAGGTCAAACCGTTGTTGTCTGTCAGTCATATAATGCAGGTATGGGGGTCCACGTCAAAGAGCATGCACAGAGAAGTCCAAATTAAACATGATTTAATGACTCATACATGCAAGTACACATTGATGGCCTAAGACACGAAACAAGCGGTTTGTGTGAGAAAACGAACAGTATTTATATCGTTTTTACCTCTTGTTAACAGCCATGTCCAACTGATCTGAATCAGATGTCTAACTGAACCATGTCAGAGCGTTCCGCCAGAAGTGATCGCTTACGCGTCGACGTCACTCAGTGTTTACACAGAGATTTCAGAAGTTTTACCTTTCACTAAACATATTAAGATATATCGAAATCGTCTTCCATTGCGGTTTCCCGTATATCTAAATATGTTTAGATCTTCACAGTGAAAGGTAAAACTTCCGAAATCTCTGTGTAAACAATGAGTGACGTACACGCGTAACACCGAGTCCTAACTACACGTGACGCGATAAAATTCCAGCGACAGCGAGTGTGTCTGTCCACACTAGACGCGACGCGACTGTGAGACGCCACGCTTTCAGAACAGCGAGTGAGCAGAGTCTCTCTGTGAAAGTGCACTGCTGGCCCGCACTCGTATTGGAAATGGGTAAGGACATAATCAAATCAAGAAATAAGATTAACAATCAAAACATTAACAAAATATACTCATTGACTAATTTTGTTATGAAGTACAGTTTGCATAGAATTAATTTTGAACGCTATATTACATGCTTTCAAAATCTGAGGTACATTATCCGTTATCGCTTGTGGCACAGTGACCTATTTTTAACTAAAAATAGATAATGTGTACTCATAACCAGTGTAATTTCTTCATTCTGTCAGCCGCGACGTCGCAGAAATAGAAACCGTTTTTAAATTAGAAACTTCGCGTGTCGCCGTCGCGTCTGGTTAGGACAAAAACTCAGATTAACATGGAAAAGATACCTTTTATCGCGTCACGTTGCGTGTAGTTAGGACACGGTGCAAGCGATCACTTCCGGCGGAATTTTGGACACGGTTCAGTTCGGTTCAGTTGGACATCTGATTCAGATCAGTTGGACATGGCTGTTAACAAGAGGTAAAAACGATATAAATACTGTTCGTTTCCTCACACAATCCGCTCGTTTCGTGTCTTAGGCCATCAATGTGTACTTACATTTACGAGTCATTAAATCATGTTTAATTTGGACTTCTCTGTGCATGCTCTTTGAGGTGGTGACCATATACCTCCATTATATGACTGATAGACAAGAACGGATTGACGGAAAAATGTCAAAATTGAAAATACTGTGGAAACAAAGACACCTACATCTCGGATGCCCTTGAGATAAGCTAAAACATATCAAAAATTAATTTCAAAGTGAACTATCCCTTTAACACAGAAAAACAATCTGTTAATATAACATGCATTATAGACTTTGGGTTTCAAATTACTGTCAATAACCACTTTAAACACTCTTTTTTGACAACTCACCTGAACCAACTGAATGTCCACAACGGTGTTAGTTTTGAGATCCATCATTGTATAACTCCCATATTTTGCAGAGTGCCCTGTTTTTGTTCAAAGATTGACATTAGTAATCACTGTTCAATACTTTTGAATTATGTCTGGAATTTTTTTACTACACTATTTCAGTAAAGGTTTAATACCTGGAGAGTCAGCTCTCATGTCACCACCAAGTATAACTTTTTCCTCCTGACTTAGCCGCTGCAGATTCACATCCTGTGTGACTTTCCAGTGGTGAAAAACTGCGGGTTCAATGAAAGATCTGGCATGGCGGCGATATGTTCTAAACTTAAACAACTGTAGCTTCATTGTATTGAAGACCTGTTAGTGTAGGTGGAAACATAATACATGTAAGTTGATCTAAATTGAAGTAAGTCAGTAAAAAATAAAAATGCAGGTCCACATCATTTACCTTTTCAATTTGTATGAAAGATGCCCCACTCAGGTACACGGCGGCAGAAAGGTGCAGATTTCCAGCCGGCACGCTCCCATGGATAGGCTGGCTATTCCAATGTCTAGAAAATGTGCAATTGGGGCACCGCTGCTTCACAGACAGGAATGTCCCCAGCCTTTGGGTCTTCACATCACATGCCCGTGTGCAGACTGGACAGAAATTAAACAAGTCCATGATGCAGTTCTCATACACTATGTACTTATTGCTGTTGTGGGTAGGAGTGCTTGAATCGTCTCTATATCAGACCACAAAGAAAGAAAGAAAACACATTTTCATTTAAACCGATTGAACTTTCATGTTGACTGTACTGTAAACCATCACCCTTTTTGTCGAATTGTTTAATAATTGTTATGCTTTTAACCAATCCTAAAAGTAACTCAGTAACTTACGACTGTTGTGTAGAGTATGACGATGCTGTGATGGAGTCTGCAGGATCATAAGTGGAATCATATCCCTTTGAAACTTCCACTATAGAGCTGCCCTCCAATGGATTGTCCTCGAGCAGTTCATCAAGGTCTAGACGAGGTCTTTTGGCTGGTCTCTTTAAAGGTGTTGTTGACAGGAACAGAGGGTCTGCATCGGACGTCCCAACTCCAAAGTCTTTGCAGGAGACAGCTGCCTGGACACCTACGGCCCAAATTAATTTTTACAATGGAAAGTCTAATGAAAACACATAATGAAAACAAAGAAAAAAATGCCAGAATACTTACTAATTACATCAAAAGTAAATGCATTTGCAGGTGGCAGGTACCTTCACTTCTAAATTTTGTTTTTCTGCATAGCTGGTAGCTACGTGTTTCCATGTGGTCTGTCTGGCAGGCAACATCCCTTGAGAGAGGCAGCTGAATGCAAGCACTTGATGTGCTGGCCTAAATAGAAACCATAAGGTCAAATTAGTACTCAATTGTATTACTTTGTATTAGTACAATTGCAATTTGTCATAAGATCAGAATGTTTACTGAGTAGGCTACCATTAATAATTAAAAATAGATCGATGAAATTATAAAATATTAGCTAATATATTTATTTACATATTTTATATTTCGTATATTTTGAAAACTAGTGCTTAGAATCATAGAGCTTCATTAGCCAAGTGTGTGCAGATAGCGGGGGAAAAAATATTTTCTGTGCCTAACATAAGATCTGAAACGTCTGTAATTTTGTTAACAAATCACCAACAGGAGAACGGATATCCAAATAACAAAGAAGCGTACAACACTTGCGTTAGAGTGTGTGTATCCACACAACGTTACCTGATGCTATCTTTGTATTTACCTTTACATTGGCGACAGGCTGTTAGCTGCATAGCTAATGTTACAGCCACATTCTACGTGTAACAAGCAAGCTAACCATAAATAGTAAAACAACACTGTTATATAATTAGTTGACTTACTTGTCCAAGGTTTGTAGGTGAGTCAAAGACAGTTGGTACTGATCCAGACTTCAGTTTCAGACGTTTAGCATGCCCAGCTCTGAACTGACCCATGTTGTGAAAACAGTCGTTTGTGAAATGTTTGGCGCAGACATACAAATATTTGGTGTGTTGTTGTGTCGGTGCATTCCCAGAGTAAATGAAATTTAACCATTGATCCTTCTGGGGATTGGATGAAGGAAGTAAAAAAACACTTCTGTGATCATTTGTGCAGTCAATTATTGAGCAACTTTTGTGCTTCGATCGGTCAAACGCCATCTCTCTAGGATAAACAAAAATTGCGCGTGCATTTAGTACTTCCTAGCTCGTTTTCTCCATGGTTTTCTCATGGGCGGGTCAAATTCCTCTAAGCAGAGAGGGCGGAGGTAACCTTTCCCCCGTATTACGTCATACAGGGGAGATTGAAGATCAGCCCGTCTGAGATCTTATTTTCTCACAGGCAGAGAAAGATAACAAAAACTCAGTTTACACCGAGTGAAATTTCTAGACACGAGGGGACCAAATAGAGGCTAGGGGAACTAATATTTATGTTAAAAAACCTCAGAAAGCGAAAATTTCATGTCAGGGGACCGAGTAGTTCACTTTTGAAAAAAACTTTTGCTGATAATTTACTCACTCCCATGTCATCTAAGATGTCCATGTCTTTCTTCAGTCGAAAATAAATTAAGGTTTTACATGAAAACATTCAAGGATTTTCTCCATATAATGGACTTCATTGGGAACCAAGCAGTTCAAGGTCCAAATGAGAGTTTCAGTGCAGCTTCAAAGCGCTTTAAACGACACCAGACGATGAATAAGGGTCTTATCTAGTAGGACCCTTCGAATCATGACCCGAAAAAAAGATTTCTTCATTTTCGAGTTTGAACAGGAGTCACGAACGCTCATCACAGAACAGAGCAAGCATTTATAAAACTTAAACTTTTTTATTTATTTTTTAAATGAGCGATCGTTTCGCTAGATAAGACCCCTATTCATCGTCTGGTGTCCTTTAAAGCCCTTTGAACAGTTTGCCCTGAAACAGTCTTTTGGACCTTGAACCATTTGGTTCCCGTTGAAGTCCATTATATTGTTATATCAAAAACCTTAATTTCTTTTCAACTGAAGAAAGAAAGATATGGACATCTTGGATGACATGGGGGTGAGTAAATTATCAGCAAAAGTTTTTTTTTTTTTTTTTTTTAAAGTGAACTACTCCATTTATTTCCAAGTTATTTTCCTATGTGAACATATTAACATTTAGCCTCTTGAAAATAGAAATAATGCTGTTGTAACTGTGTTGCATGAGAAAAAATCAAATAATAGAAAAACTACAAAAGCAATTGAGGCAAGAAAAAAAGAAAAAAGAAAAAAAAACAGACCTGTTAGGAAATGTGCCAACTGTGGAAAGAAATAAAGAACAAACCAAGTAAGAAGAACAAAAAACAAACAAAAAAAAAAAACATGTAAGTAAGTAACATTTAAAGTTAAAGAACATAAGAATAAAGCTGAAGTGCCTGGTTTGTAAAAGAGAATTTGAACATCTATTTTATTGCAAGGAGAAAACCAGGAAAAGTGTTGTTTTACATATCAGGAACAGATTTAAAAGCAAATCTGTGTAAACCTATACAAAAAGCTTTAGGCTTAATACCACAGCAGAGTACTGTTTAAATCAGCGTGGTATAATTGTGTTACAATACATGAAATAATCTCCTCTGTTGTGACGTCACATATGAAACGCATACACACAGAATGCGGTCCAAAGGTCTGTTCCCTCATCAGGCAGAAACAGGACAGTTCATATCAGATTGGTTTTGTCATAAGACTCCCCAGACCTCCTCAAACGCTGAACACATCTTGGCACAGGTCAGAGCTGCAGATAGAGGATAGTTACTGATGGACAAGGTCTTCTCTGTGTAGTCAACATCCACCTACATCAGGATTGAGAAACAGAATTTAGTATGCTGATTTACTTGAACATGAAATCATTTCTAAGCATGCACGTATACTTTAGACTCACTGCTCCATGCGCAAATGCTCCAATGACAACAGCGGCAGGTCCATCTTTAGGGATGATTGTTCTGGGACATACAGCATCTCCTGCTTTGAACGAAGTGGAAAATCGGGGGCATCCAGGTGGCAGGTGGTCCGACACTGGATTTTTAATGAGCCTCAACAAACGCTGAGAGCCATCCGCTGCTCTCACACTCAACTTGTGCAGGAGCTGGACTACAGGACGACAAATTGTAGGAAACTAAATTAATTTACATACAACTTTACAGGGTTTTTTTTTTTTTTTGCATTATAAGGTAACAATTTATTTTAAGATGTACATGTTACTATAATGATATCAAATAATGTACACTCCTGGGCAAAAACATGGGCCAAGTCCTTAATGGCTATACTAAGCTAAGCTGTAAATTGATCAGCTCACAACTACAATTAGAACTAGCCTATTTTAATTCCCTTTAAATTGTTTATTTAAATAAAGACCCCCCTCCCGCCAAATGTTGGTTACAAGTAAACCTAAACATAACCATATTGTAAATGCATGCAGATAATTAATATTATTCAGTTCTTATTCGTGTAATTACACTAACTACGTCACATCACCTTAAAATGGTGTAACACGTAACAATACTACATTACAGTCGATGTGCAAATGGAGCCTCCATGTTAATTTACCCATCAGTCCACAAAATCTTGGAAAGGTGCGAGGAATTCTTGTCTGTGGGTTGATCTCAATCAAAACATTCTTCTCTGTGTGAATGTACACTTGCAGCAGTCCAGCTCTATTCAAAGGACTGTCCAGTAACATCAGCAGGCACTGTGGGTAAGCAGACGTGACATTCAGGGGACAGATGTGGTACAAATAAAAATCTCGGTGTCAAAATCATTAGAAGATGGCTTGTTTTCTTCTTTTAACCTTCATAATGCATTCAAAACCTGCATACCATTTGGACATCGTGGAATGTACGTTTTTTTTAAAACTGTCATACCTTTGTATTTTTCAACTAAAACCATATTGTATCTGATTGATAACTTCTCACTAATGATGAGTAAATGTGCAAACATGTCAGTTTTGACTGATAGAGTGATATATTACCATGTAAATACATTTACACCCTTTTTAAAAATCTTTACAATTTGAAACTGTTACATTAACAACAGAAAAAAAAACACTAATGCAACAAAACAAAAGCAGAAATTTCTCAATTGACAAGAAAATACTCTGAGTAACGAACAGTATCAACTGGTCATGCGGCAATGTTCACCAACACAATTCAGTCCCAAAAGTGTGTGTGAGATATAGAAAATGGGACACAAACCCATTTTTTGAGAAACCCTATTTTTGAGACAAACTCGTGTGTGTGCACACACACACACACACACACACACACACACACACACACACACACACACACACATATATGAGAGAGTCTGCTGCATAACTGACATCATTTGTAAAGCCTCGGTTGATGCCCTGGTCCAAATTGACAACAACGCAAAAGGTGTAACGTTAACTTTATTAAAATAGTGGGATATCTTAAATAACTTTAAAACCTATGCTTTACTAAAACTATAGAAATTGTATGTGAAAACTAACAATTCATTTCAAACACTGGAGAGCTTTACCTGATGTGTGATATCAGGACGAATCTTCCCTGGGTCTCTTCCACTCTTCAGAATCATACTCTTATGCTGATCACAGTTCAACAACTCAAATGTCTTTCCAACCTGAACAAAAACACGTTCACATTTAAATGCTAAAACATACGGTTATGAGAAATATTATTAAAGTTTATTATCTACCGAGCCTCCTTGTATTTTACCTTTACGGTTTCAAGTGTCGCTCCTTCTAAAACAACAACAAGACGCTTTTCCGTCATCTGATCGTGCAGACTTTTTAGGTGTTTTGCCGGTTTTGGTTCATATTCATCTAAATGCTTCAGACCACGCTTTTCTCCAGCGCGAGCAGCCATGTTGACACAGAACTACTACGACACATCAAATGTACGTCACAACAACGAGTTTGTTCAGAGTGGCGCACGCTGATGACGGCCTCTCTCAGTCTCTACATAATTAAAAATGTCTCTGTAAAATACTACACTTGACCACCAATTAAATGACATTATGTTATTATGAAAACAATAATACATTTATAAACACAATTTTAAACAACAAAAATGTCAAGAATCGTCGATGTTTGCTAGTGTCATAATAAAAAAGAGCTTTCATGATACACTCTTAAAAAGAACACATTCCAAAACACAATTCTGCGTTTCTTCCAAATTTAGTAAGTTTCACATTTAAGAGTGATATTTTTGATACATTCCGACTTCAGACCTCAAACTGTACACTGGAGAGAGTACAGGTACATTCATCATTGACTGGAATTTCTTTTAAGAGGTGAAATGCACTCCTTCCTTGCTCAAACTTAGTTCTTGTAGTAACCAGTTTAACTGTGGTATTTACAGTAAGACTATAGTTACCACATATTAAACCAGAGTAACTTTATAAACAAACAAGGAAATACTGCTATAGCGTTGTAAAAATGCATGCGATTTCTTTCCTCCCATAATATATTATTTTGCACGAATTTCCCCCAAGTTCTGTAAAAGCATGATACATTTTCAAAGTGTTATGAGAGATCATATCCACCAAGCAGCTTTTAACTGTTCGTCACACTGTACATCACTTATCAAACGTAATAATATTGCATAGATGTACTATATGTGACATTTTTAAACCCATCCAGTGAATATAAAAAAGTTAGTGATCTCTGGATTGACTTTCTCCAATTTTCACTAAACACTGAGCAGCTCCAATGGTTCAATAATCCCAAACCAGCTCCAACAGGTCCTCCCAGATTCAGTGCAGCGTTCGGCTCTGGCACATCTCATGAGGAGAACTCTGAGATTTATTCAGGCAGGTCAGCGGTTTGGGGCACAAGCCTGAGTCCGAACACAGGACTGTTACCAGAAATGAAGGTTCAAAGGGCATGAACTCCCGGTAAGGGTCAGCGTCACACGTTACCTGTAACATTTGATTTGAATGTTTGATCAGCGCACATGCTTGAGTGTCTAAGTAATTCTCTTTGAGATGTTCTCTGTACCTTAGTAAAGGATGAGAGGAACAGGTGAATGTCAGAGAGGCCTGATAGAGATGAGTCCGTTGGATGTCTGGTGAAACTCATCTCATAAGCCTGTAAGGAACAAATATGGAATATAAAAGTTTGACAAAGACAAATGTTGGGCTACCAGAGCAGAAATTATCTAATAGGGGTCCTTATGAAGTGCTAGGGGGTCTGTTGAAAAGTTTAAAGAAAAACAGTGGGAAATGAAAATGTAAAATGAAAACCAGATTTGAATAAATAAATAAATAATACATTTAAGATTAGAGTACTATAATTAGTAGAAAAACAACATAGTACTACTTAATACCCAGATAATAAAACTAGGCTATTTTCTTATATATTTTTTCAAACATGCTTATTAAATTATGAAAACATTATTTCTGAATATTTACAAACTTCCAGGATTTTTAGTTTTAAACCTTTTTTTATTTTGTTATGCAAACATTAAGGGAATATTCCATTTTTCCCTTAATGTTCCAAACTTCCCTGTTAGCTGGGCAGAAACAAAAAAATATATACATACAAAATAAATCATATTTTTTCATGTAATAATAATTAAATTAAATAATATTTTTTTATTATAATAATATTTTTTTAAAAAAGTTACAAAAATTTTTGAAACCATTTAAGATGCCTGTTAAATTTTAGTATGGGGTGATCATATTTAGGGATCTGTGGACTAGACTACAGTGAGTTAACTTACATCCAGTGCCACCTGTAGAGCAGAATACTGCACCCAAACCTCCTGCTGTTTGGAGGGGGGAAGGGAGAATGTGCCAGCCTGTCCCAGATACTTGGTCACATTCAGATAATGAGACAACACACACATACTCTCTGACTCTGGATTTTTGGCCTGTGTGTGGACTGGTGATGAGAAACACAGGAGGGAATTAAAAAAAACTCAAAAACACATCACATATGCATATTCATATTGAAATCCATACTGACTTACTATCAGGAAGCAGAAGGTGGAGAAGATCTTTAGCCATCAGAGATCCCAGTGTCCCATAATTCAGTGCCCTAGAGGATATTGTAATTTATACCATGGTCTGTCTGAATACTTGATTCTGATTGGCTGAAAGGTGTGCAATAGTTCCAAGTCAGTTAAATCACTGGTCTATGTTAACTTTGCTTTGCACACACGCATACGTCACACATAGGAGTACAGAAACTTGTTTTCAATGTTGCTGTTTTTAAAGTAATTAAACTCACAGTTGCAGGTAATTCACACGCTCTCTCTCTCTCTTGATCGATAGTTTAATTAAATCAAATAAATGTTATAATTAATTTTTCAAAAAGTTATTTGCCTCCACGTCGTGCATTAAAATCGTTTAAAGCACAGCTAGCTGAGGATTATTCCTTATGTAAACATTTTTATCAAACTTTCGTACATTCATATTTATGCATCATACATCATCATATAAAAACTAGAATGGAGTGGAGGATGAGGAATAATCAGAGTAACATTATAAAATAATATATTAACATTTTTCTAACAGCGGTGCAAAGCATTTCAGTATATACCCAAGTAAAATTTTTACAGTTGAATGAATATTCTGTTTTTATGTTGTAATAAGATACCTGGGATATGAGGAATGGAAGAAAGGCAAAACAAACATTCCAACAGGGATGATGATGTCATTGCCAGAGATGGATGGAGTGATAGACAAACTAGAGAAGAGGAAAGACGGGAATGTAAAATGGATGATGATGGCATGAATTGAATAGTATCAATGCATAATAATTGAATAATCAATGCATGCATTTCACTTTTCAAACAAAAACTCTTTAATCAAAATGTCACTGCCAGTAAAATGATAGACTTTTCCAATCATTTAGTCTGCTTAAACCCGCAATCAACCTCAATCTCTCATTTCAAGCTTCCTCCATCCCTACAATAACCAATGGAAAGATTTAAAGTTTTTAACATCAGTAAATATCAGACTTTAATATCAGAATAGGAATGACCCAAGTAAAAAAGGATCTGAAAACTAAAATTTGACATTCAGGTTAAATTATTTGAGTCTTTTGAAGATAAACCCCATTTGCATAATCCATAGATATAAAATTATATGTGCTGAAAATACATGAGCCTTATAATGTTAAATTTTAAAAAATTGAAATGTTTATTTTGGGGGGAAGGGGGAAAATAAATATACTAGTTAAGAAATAAAAGTAAAACCTTTATATAAACATATAAACAATAAAATCGTATAAAAAATATTTTATAAAACAATAAATAAATAAAAAAGTATAATATATTCACTGTTATAAACAACGCATATAGTACGGAAGCGTATTGCATTCACTTGGGGAAACAAAATCTACTCTATTTTTCTGAATTAACAAGTTAATTATCTCAGAATTACAAGATCATTTTTCATGGAAAAAAGTTTTTGCTCTGTTTTTCTGAATAAACGAGTTAATTATCTCAGAATTACGAGATCATTTTCCATGAGATAATGAAAAAAGTTTTTGCTCTGTTTTTCTGAATAAACGAGTTAATTATCTCAGAATTACGAGATCATTTTTTTTTTGTTTTTCTGAATTAATGTGTTTTTGAGATAACATAGCAAAAAACCGAGTACATTTTTTTCCATGAAAAATTATCATGTAATTCTGAGATAATTAACTTGTTAATTCAGAAAAACGGGGAGAGTAGATTTTGTTTCCTCAAGTGAATGCAATACGCTTTCGTAATATAGTACTGTGTATTTAAACTGTGATTTTAAGAAGATTACCCGAAATCCCTATTGTGACAAAACGTTACCTTAAATTTTATTGTTAACGTGCGAGCACTCACCCTTCAGCCCGTGTGCCGTGTGAGAGCAGTCTACACCTGCTCTTCCGCTCCAGTACCAGCATCTGCAGATAGTTGGAGAAAAAATCCTCCTCTTTTAAAACCACCTAGTGCATAGAGGAGAAACACAGCGAATGAAGAATATTTCATTCACTCATCCGACTACACTGCCTGTTCATTTATTCATCTTCAAATGAAGCTACCTCTGCATAGAGATGGTTGAGTTCAGTATGATTGAGGTTATTAGTTTTAGTGGAGAGTCTTGGATTCAGAGATTTTATCTGAAAAACACACAAGATTATCAGAACGAAATCCATCCGCAGTTTCATTTTGTATATGATTCGCAACATACCTTATTCAAAATAAAGTCTGATTTGTTGTCCCTCCAGCTCAGACCTATTAGTTTCTTCGTGAGGGATGAATAAACATCATGGATCAACTCTTCAGCCTGGCAGAGAGAGAAAAACACGTGTCATTGCTCTATTAAATACATGTCCATGCATAATCAATCCTTTATTTGTTCACGAGGTCCAACCAAAACGTACCTCTTTCTGTGCATGTCGTTCTCTAATTGCATGACTAAGTAAGGCATCAAATCCTCGCTCTGTCTGCTGAACACATCGCCACCAGCGAGGCATCTCCTAAAATCATAGACATTATAAGCGAATTAAATATATATTGCAGTCTGAACTGCTTCACTTCACACAAATAGTTTTATACTTTTAACTATTTTTACAAATAGTTATATAGAAATATTTTGTGGGGAATAAATCCAATGCCGACCCACCTCCTGAGTGTCTCCAGTCACAATGGAATAGTTTCTCATTGTTTGGAAGAACCTCGAGTCCAGCGCAGGTACGAGTGTTTGCAAAAGACTGAAGATCATGTACGTGTGAAGAGGGATGCTGCAGATTTATACATAGGCACAAATGGAGAAACAAAACATTTGTATCATTTATGAAAATCTATACTATAACATTTTAAGAAAACATTCCCAAAAGTGACTTACGCGCCCATTATCTCATGCTTGACTTGCCATTGGCTGATTGTCTGGGACATGTGGATAATGTACGGGAGATTGTGGA